GGGCATGAACATATATACACTGACATTGACATGGACATGGACATGGACATAGACACTGACATGGACATGGACATTAACATGGACATGGACATTGACATGGACATTAACATGGACATGGACATTGACATGGACATTAACATGAACATGGACATTGACACTGACACTGACACTGACATGGACATGGACATGGACATGGACATTGACATGGACATTGACATGGACATGAACATGGACATTGACATGGACATTGACATTGACATGGACACTGACATGGGCATGGACATTGACACTGACATTGGCATGGACATTAACATGGACATGGACATTGACATGGACATTAACATGAACAGGGACATTAACATGGACATGGACATTAACATGAACATGGACATGTACACTGACATGGGCATGGACATAAACATGGACATAGACACTGACATGGACATGGATATGGACATTAACATGGACATTGACATTGACATGGACACTGACATGGACATGGACATTGACACTGACATGGACATGGACATTAACATGGACATGGACATGGACATGGACATGGACATTGACATGGACATTAACATGAACATGAACATTGACATGGACATTAACATGGACATGGACATGGACATTACCATGACCATGGGCATGGACATTGACATGGACATTAACATGAACATGGACATTGACACTGACATGGACATGGACATGGACATAGACACTGACATGGACACTGACATGGACATGGACATTGACATTGACATTGACATGGACATGGACATGAACATGAACATTGACATGGACATTAACATGGACATGGACATGGACATTACCATGACCATGCGCATGGACATTGACATGGACATTAACATGAACATGGACATTGACACTGACATGGACATGGACATGGACATGGACATTAACATGGACATGGACATGGACATTGACATTGACATGGACATGGACATGGACATGGACATTAACATGGACATGGACATTGACATTGACATTGACATGGACATGGACATGGACATGGACATTGACATGGACATTAACATGAACATGGACATTGACACTGACATGGACATGGACATGGACATGGACATTAACATGGACATTAACATGGACATGGACATTGACATGGACATGGACATGGACATGGACACTGACATGGATATGGACATGGACATGGACATTGACATGGACATGGACATTGACATGGACATGGACACTGACATGGACATGGACATTAACATGGACATGGACATGGACACTGACATGGGCATGGACATGGACATGGACATGGACACTGACACTGACATGGACATGGACATTAACATGGACATGGACATGGACACTGACATGGGCATGGACATGGACATGGACATGGACATGGACACTGACATGGACATGGACATTAACATGGACATGGACATGGACACTGACATGGGCATGGACATGGACATGGACATGGACACTGACATGGATATGGACATGGACATGGACATGGACATGGACATTAACATGAACATGGACACTGACATGGGCATGGACATTAACATGGACATGGACACTGACATGGACATGGACATTAACATGGACATTGACATTGACATGGACACTGACATGGGCATGGACATGGACACTGACATGGACATTGACATTAACATTGACATGGACATTGACATGGACATTGACATGAACAGGGACATTAACATGGACATTAACATTAACATTGGCATTGACATAGCCATAGACATTAACATTGACATTTACATGGACATTAGCAATCAAGATCAAGATTCTGCAATTCTGTCGATGACATGGTGTCTATTTCTAATGTGTATTTCATTGTTGTGTCGAAAGTGTGTTGGTGAAATACCCTCATACATTACTAATAAAACAAATATAATAAATAAAATTACCAATATTTATTACAAATAATATGTAGCACAAACGGTCCCAAAATGCAGGAAATTGTTTAAACATTTCGGGGAGAACCTCGGACGCAGTACACCCTAAAAAATAAAACTGAATTTTTTGCGCCCTTGGACATAGATGTTTTGTTTAGCTCTCATGCGACAGGTCAAATCACCGTCAACCATAAATACGTGCAACATAATCAGCAAGTCAGTGACCTGTCTACCCCATGTCCACATCCTCGCATACTTATGATGTTGTTGTGACATGGCAGACATCACCAACTACTGACCCTCTACACGGCGGTGCATTCCTCATTCGCATCAACAACACCACGTCACTGACAGCCAAAGTTCAAAATGTGCAAATCAAATAGTTCTGGATTCTGATTCCGAATAACATTTGCAACTTGCATATTCCACGTTTATCCATGCATCATCCAATGGTGGTATGCATGTCTTGCTGTGTATTTGTGTTCGAAAACTTTAACGCTGGGTTACTGACATTCGTCACCACTCGCCCCTTTCCGTAACCTGCAAGAAGACTCGTCCCCCTGTCGATGAATGTAATGTGCTAAAATACGACAAACCAATCAGAATGCGCGTATGATTTCAAGTTCTTCATCAAAGAATCCTTCAAAAATAATTTTTGATTTTATATATGTCTTGCATCTAAACAATATACCCAAGACACAGTTAAATGTGTTCAATCATACTGTGTAATTCTGCATGTCCCGATGTGCTTTAAATTGCATCTGAAATATAATATATGGGGAAATATATGTGAACCAGTAGCAAAGAGTTGACAATTGTTTTAGGTATGCCCGTTTGCGCTAAGACGGAACCCGGTCGCAAAAAATGGCCATGAGCGGGGCACGAGTCGCTATTCGGCTTGTCTCGGAATAACACGAGTTGGTCACGAATGGGTTATTGAGTCGCGGTAACGTGACGTCAGCACGTGTGACACACTTTAACTGACCTCGCAGTCGCCGAAGGTGACTTCTGACATTGTGAACTTGCATTTGATAAAGTTCATGTATTAAATCCAACAAGACGTACTTTCTACGGTGGCCCATAAGGGACATGGAGTCGGTTTTTCAATATTTTGATTTTTCACTTACTGTTATCGTAACCTTTTGCAAATTGACACGATTTGTCATACAAATATGTGATAAATCATGTATAAAGAAGATATTGAATCGCTGAAAATGTCAAAAACTAAAATGAAAATGTCAAAAACAAAAAGGAAAAGGTCAAAAACAAAAATAAAAACGTAAAAAAAACAAACGAAAATGTCAAAAACAAAAGCGAAAATGTCAAAAACTAAAATGAAAATACAAGAAAACTATTTCCATCGCAGTGATAATATTCCCACCGCGGGGATAATATTTCCACCGCGGTGAGAATATTATTCTGTATTTTCATTTTAGTTTTTGACATTTTCGCTTCACATTTCAGCGATTCAATAACTACTTTAAAGTACATTTTCCATGTTTTCGGTTGTTTTTATACATGATTTATCACATACTTGTATGACAAATCGTGTTTATTTGCAAAAGGGTATGATAAAAGTAAGTGAAATATCAAAATATTGAAAAACAGACTCCATGTCCCTTATTGGCCACCGTATCTTTCCAAGAGACATTATCCACATGACTGTGTGATAGGAAGGATGACTTCAACTTTCCCATAGTCAACTTTGCCTTGATGTCTTGCAATATTCAAGCAGTTCCAGTCGAGCTGCCTCAACCTACGCACATTGATAAAAATTCGTCCTGAGATACCGGATTCACGCACCGCCGTCTGTCATTGCACTTCGGCAGACCCGTGAAGATCCAGGGTAGAATAGGTCTTCAGCAACCCATGCTTGCCGTAAAAGCGACTATGCTTGTCGTAAGAGGCGACTAACGGGATCGGGTGGTCAGGCTCGCTGACTTGGTTGATGCATGTCATCGTATCCCATTGGCGTTGATCGATGATGTCAATCACTTGATTGTCAGGTCCAGATTCGATTATTTACAGACCGTCGTCTCATAGTTGGAATATTTGTTGAGTGCGGCGTTAAACGACAAACAAACAATCCGATGTATCCTGAAAGGTCGCTGGGTTTTTTTGTTGCGTGGGGATAAGCCGCTAAAACTTTGGTGGTTAGGGATAGGATCTAGAGACGTTTGAAGTGCGATCGGACCGCCTCCGTGGTCTAGTGGTAGAGCGTCTGCCCGGAGAGCGGAAGGTCGGGGGTTCGATCCCCGGCCGAGTCCTACCAAAAAACAATAAAAGATGGCATTTGTTGTTACCCTGCCTGACGGTCGGCATTAAGGGGCTAAAACAAGGACTGGTCGGCTCGGAGTCAGTATACTGTGTCTGAGTTAGGTTTTCATGTTTACTGAGAGAACAATACCAGTGAAGATCCGGTTAGAATTGGCCTTCAGCAACCCATGTTTGTAAGGGGCGACTAACGAGATCGGGTGGCCATACTTACTAATGTGGTTGATGTTATTGTATCCCAGTTGCCTAGATCGATGCTCATGCTATCAGTCACTGGATTGTCTGGTCCGAAAAAAATTTACAGACCGCCGTCATAAAGCTGGAATACTGCTGAGTCCGGCGTTAAACAGCAAATTAAACAAACACAGAGAGCAAGCATATAAGCGTGACATTTCCGTGATTATCAGTAAAATTAGCACTATTTCAATAAAATCATAAACAAACTATTTCAAGGACGATGTATAATCCCAGAAATTTTCAGTGACTATGTTATATTACTGGGGAAGATCAACTACACACATGTTCCCGAATATTCGTGATTAGTGATATTTTTTATTATACATCGTCCACGGAACACATACACACACCTATTTATATACGTCATGTATGTCTCAATTACTAATCAATAACTTTACTTTCATTTCCGTGTATGTCACTGCCTCTGGTCAATAGTGCACAAAGCGGGAGCATTGTACGTGCTCTATAACCCACGACCGTACAATACAGACTTGTTTATTCATATCCGAGAGCACGTGCCATCTGTGAAATGTACTATCTATAGTTATATCGATAACCTCAATACGTCGGGTCGGAGTACAGAGCTGATTTGGGTATTTAGACTTACGACCGGCTAATCATCCCGACCAAGAAGTATAGATCAGATTGTTGCATGCTAAATACGAATTATGCGTTGAAGATTTAATAAGTGCACGTAAGACGATAAAACAAGCTGGTCCGTCATGGAAGTCGACGATTGTGCTGGAGTTTCCGTCAGTTGGCGACAGGCGACGAATTCGAAGGGAGCTGTCAAAGCAGACGACAGTACTCGCGCAGGCGCAGACGTGACTCCGTGGATTGTCGTCTGCTTGACTAACCACGTGAGAAAGGTTTTGTCATTTGTTATGGAAACGTTTGGAATGCAGACAAGCTCGGAACCACTGCTGCCACAGTCAACCATAACGACTATGATGGAAGAGGCTAAACACATATGCAAGGATTATACATACCAGCGACTGTCAGAAAAAGATATGACGAAGAAATTACCGTTTGGAGGCTGTAATTCAGAGCTGTCTGAAAGCTATATCAACGCGGGACAGGTGCTGGAGAAAATGTACCCTCGTGTTTACACGGACGTTTCAAGGAAGATTGGCAGAACTATGAGTAGCGCAGGTATTGTGAAAGCAACTCTGAACGACGTGTTGAACATACTCTTCCGTGATTCCATTACTTGGGGTAAAATTGTGTCAATGTTCGCGATAAGTAGTTCCTTTGCCGAGGAGTGCGTTCAACAAGGACACCCTGATTTCGTCAACGACGTAGTCGACACGGTTGGGGGATTTGTCGTCATGCACCTCGTGGAATGGCTTGTAAAACAAGGTGGATGGGTAGGTCGATGTTTAAATTGCATTGTTTTTTTCATGAATTCAATTGTTCTGTCATTTGCATAAGTTGTCATCATCGTTTTCTCAGATAATACCATTCAAATTTAGAAACGAGATCGAACGGGTCTGGGGTTTGTATAGACTGGGATCAGTCTGTGTTTTCGATATAAAATCAATTATTTGGAACATACGAGGTACATTTGCCCTGGTCTTTGATATGTACAACAGTGTGTTCTGAATGCACAAATGCATGTGGAAACTTTTAAAAACTATGTTTATATTTTAGGTTTTAGTTGCATGTTGTTTGTTTCTTTGTTTAATGTAATTGTTTACAAAATATTTTAACAAAATGGAGACTGCATAGGTCTAGGGATTGTGGCGATTGGGTTTTGGTTGATGGGGTGGGTTGGTTTGTTGGTGTTCGGCTGGGATTGGTCAGTGGGAATAAGAGGGACGCTCCACAACATCACCAGTCATTAAGCAATTAATTGCAATTTTCCTGTTAATTAAGTCGTGTTTATGTGCGATCACAGTGTCGGACGACTGTGATGGAATGTTCGTGACAACATGATTTTAAAAATATTTTTATTATCATCATCATCATCATCATCATCATTATTATTATCAGATTGATATTATTAAATACAAATTATAATATCGCCACCCATCCACCTCGTGTTCAAATGATTTTCTTTCAGTTTCGGACTTGAGGAAGACGAGATTGAGATAAAGTTATCCAAGGTTAATGTCAAGTCCTTTGTTTTGATAATCTCAATCTGGTCCCCCCAAAAATATTACTATATCAGCTACTTATAAATAGTTAGCTCTCCAGCCAAGTAAAGGGCTAATCACTTACGTCAGAACAAATGTTATCGTGCCACTTAAAACCACGAACCACAAATGTCCCATCTCAACCAAGGCCACACACCATACCTGCACAATAGGAAGATAGTCACATGTTGATCTCTCCAGTTCGATAGCATGTGAAATACGGCAGATAAACTTTGATAAGCTATGAATGACAGGGCCATGAATGCTGGCGATAAATAAGCCTGTTGTTTTTAATCGTAACTGCGATCTTAGAACAGGGGCTATGCACACGAGTCCATTTTTTCTGTTGTTATCCGATCGTATATCTATCAATGTCCACGAGTAGGTCACGAGCGCCGATTGACGTTGGTATGTGTGACACAGCTACGAATTGCTGTCAGATCATAAGCATGTGTAGAGTTACGAGGTTGCGCAACATGCTGCGTCTCGCTATCTACATTTACCTGTAAGCTAGATGTGACATCAGGTGAAATGGGGTTCCAGATTTTTTTTTAAAATCGCAAACTGGAATAAATCAAAAGTAACAAAATAATGCATTATTGCTACAACTAATGTGATGGCTTTGTAGACGTAGCGTGTGTATTACTGATAACTATGAGTGTTATGTGGGAGTTGGAGTGAGTGAGTTGGGTTTAACGCCGCTTTTAACAGTATTACAGTTATATCACGGCGTGTCAGCTTGATGTGGGAGGAAAGCCCGAAGTGATGCAGGTCTCAGACGTTTACCACTTCGGTGAAACCCACGAGCACGGGTATGGTGTTGACAAACCTAGAAATATAACCGAGGCGAACCGGGAGTCGAAACCAAAATCATAGGTTTCTGGCGTGCCCAAGGGACGCAACTCTGCACAGCGAATCGCGGCGCCTTAGACGACTGGGCCACCCGTGCCCCCTACTGATAACAGGACCAGTAAAGAGACTTCAATGTTTGATTTTACATTATTGTACTGAATGCAATGTTTAAATACCTCGAAGATATGAACTTTACAATAATCCCAATTATAAGCAAAATAATGATTTTGTTCCCCAGTTTGCCTGCCAAGCGTGCTTAGTTAAGAATCCTAGACAAATCCCTGAGTGTGGCTGCTTGTACTAGTCCGGACTAATGTCGATTTGATGGTGCTAACCATCTGAGTTATCATGCCGCAGTTTAACGTGGAATTTAACTCAGAGGCGACCAGTACTTGTTTTATCCCCATAATGCCGAGCGCTAGGCAGGGTAACAACAAGTACCGTTTTATTTTTGTATGACGCGCCCAGCATCGAACCACCCACCCTCCGTTATCCGGGTAGACGTCATATCCACTCGACCAGGGAGGCGGTCTCTATATGCTGTCAATATATGTTTGAAACAGACAAATTTCAGTCAGCACTTCAAGACCTTCAGTTCTACTCGCTTTAAAGAGCCAAACATATTTTTAACATTAACATTATTTGTTTTTTAAATCCATCACATCCAGTCAACGACTTGTTTTGGGGACTAATTTAAAAAAAATATATACGGGATCAGATCTCATATTCACTACCTGTCAGAATACCAAACACTCAGTGAAGATCCGGGGTAGAAGAGATCTTCAGCAACCCATGCTTGCCGTAAAACGCGACTATGCATGTCGTAAAAGGCGACTAACGGGATCGGGTGGTCAGGCTCGCTGACTTGGTTGATGCATGCCAATTGCGTGGATCGATGCTCGTGATATCAATCACTGGATTGTCTGGTCCAGACTCGATTATTTACAGACCGCCGCCAGATAGCTGGAATATTGCTGAGTGCGGCGTTAAACAACAAACCAACCAACCAACGCTTACAACGTTGATGCATGTCATCGATCACACATTGCAAGGATCGATGCTCATGATATTGCACGGGATTGTGTGGTCCAGACTCGATTATGTACAGACCGCCGTCATATAGCTGGAATATTGGTGAGTGCGGCCAACAAACCAACCAACCAAACACTCGGCGTCTAACTCAGTGCGACTGTTAAACATTCATTGTCAGTGCTGAATGATAGTTGACCGCCTCTGTGGTCTTGTGGTAGAACGTCCGCATGGAGAGCGGTTGATTGCAGGATTTGCAAAGCATGTTTACTGTCGTTTGCCTCTTGTTTTAAACTCACGAGCAGTAGGATTCTGAAGGACCAAGGGTCATAATCAGATTTAATCAGGGAGGTTCGAACCAATTCATAGCTTCATGAACCGCTTTCGTGATCTAGTGGAAGAGCGTCTGGCCGGAGAGCGGAAGGTCCGGGGTTCGATCCCCGGCCGCGTCATGCCAAAATACGTTAAAAGATGGTACTTGTTGTTACCCTGTCTGACGCTCGGCATTAAGGGGCTAAAACAAGGACTGGTCGGCCTGGAGTCAGTATACTGTGTCTGAGTGGGGTATTCATGTTAAACTGCGGCATGGTATCTAAGTGTGCTAGCACTATAAATCGGCATCAGTCCGGACTAGTACAAGCAGCCACACACACACACGTGCATGCACGTCGCTACATAAGTGCAATAAACTTGGACGCGACGTTAAACCCCATTTCACCTCACCTCACCACCCCACCTGAATGATAGTTAAACAAATAGCATTTATAGGTCAATGCTGTTGACGAGCACCCAATGCTACGTGTAAATGTTACAATATCGCATTCGTTTTTACGTGTGTTGTTTGTCTGTTTCTTGTTCAACGCCACAGTCAGTAGTATTCCAGCTACATGCATGGCGGCGGACTGTAAATAATCAAGTCTGGATCAAGCCATCCAGTGATCGATACTTTGAGCAACGATCGGGGTACGAAGACACACGAACAGCAAGTCACCGAGTCTGTCCTCCCGATCCAAAGTCCTGCACCCTGACCGTCGAATATATTTATTTTGTGAAAATAAATAAATCTAGAAACGCATACAAAAGCAAGTCTAGCCATCCCTAGCAAGCTCTTTTCCACAGCATAGGGATTTTTTTAAAATTTTAGTCAAGAAGGATATTGTGTAATATAAGATTTCAGAGACTAAATGTTAGTCTACCCGATCCACTGAGTTGCCTCTTACGACCAGCATTGGTTGCTAGGGGCTACCTATAGCCCGGAATCCCCACCGTGTAAATACGTGCACAGCTGCCTACTTATTGTAGCTTATAGGTTTGACGCTAACAGCCCCCTCCACGGTGACGCAGACATGCGTGATGGATGCATGTAAAAAACGAATATGCTATTGGTTCATGTGCACAATTTATCATTGTTTTACCAAGTAGAATGCTGTATGATAAAAAGACGAGAGAGATAGAGAGAGAGATTTCATCTCCAAATGCTCGAAATATTGCAAATAATTATTGTGATTTCACACAAGAGTAGGTTATTCTACGTATTACCGATATTATTCTACGTATTACCGATATTATTCTACGTATTACCGATATTATTCTACGTATTACCCATGTTATTCTACGTATTACCCATATTATTCTACGTATTACCCATTATAATGTTTTATTTGGTTATGATGTAGAGAAGATCTCAAAATTTCATGTTGGCCTCGGTGGGTCATTTACAACGGATCACCTCATCTCAATGTTTTGCGACAATGCGTTCATATGACGTCACGTTTCTATAGGATCGCCACAAAGGGGCACAACTGAAACGAAGTAGCCAGCATAAAGCTAACATTGCGCTCAGTTACAACTGAAATAATTTCACAGATATCCTATGCATAAGTCCAGTGTCATTAATATCAAATTACATCCAAGGAATCGGAAGCCATGAAGGCATTGTACTCTTGACCATTAAAAACGCGTTGTCCATTGATCAGGGCGATCAGTGTTGACATTGCTATTAGTTCCAAAGCATTAAACGGTCAAGAAGCCAAAAGCCGAATTCAATATGCCAGTATATATATAAGCAGAATAAATCCTTGACTTGGGCAGTCTGACACGACTGCATATTTGAGCTGCTGTTATATGAAATCGTTATCTATACGTGCACCTTCAGTATGACAGGGGGGCACGGGGGGCCCAGTCGTCTTAGGCGCCGCGATTCGCTGTGCAGAGTTGCGTCCCTTGGGCACGCCAGAAACCTACAATCATGTTTCTAGGTTTGTCAGCACCATACCCGTGCCCGTGGGTTTCACCGAAGTGGTAAACGTCTGAGACCTGCATCACTTCGGGCTTTCCTCCCACATTAAGCT